CACACACACACACACACACACACACTGATGAGTCGATGAAAGTCCGACCAAACAGTCTGGTACAGTCATGCTCTTTTTGAGTGTATAGCGAATATGACAACACACGAGTATATAGCCAACATTACAAACAACATCAACGGACAAAGTACGTCAATTCGCAGCCCTTAGGCTGCGGTATAGTGGGCTTCCGCGTCTGTGTCAAGGTGTCRCATTTTTGGCGGCGGGCGACCAGGACGCAAAGTGGGTTCTTAGGGGGCAAAAAAATTTGGGGGACCGGTCCTTGCCAAAATTGCGGACTACCTACAGCTAGCTCTGGTAGAACCGGGACTATTGGAAAAACGAAGGACCGATCCTCGGGTAGATGTGAACTGCAAAAGGGGCCCTCAGGCCCAGGCGTTGAGCCCCGTCTTCTCAAAACAAAGAGGTAAGGCACAACGACACAGGCGTTTTGCAAGAGGCAACTTTGGCGATTTTCTGTGCTCCGATGAACATGCACAAAAATCTGAAATTTTGAGAATCCATAGATGAGGTCGTGTTCTTTCCAGAAATAATAATAAAACATTTACGAAAAATCATTTAGACTGCGAAATAAAATTCAGCACATTTTCCATTTTTGCCACTCAGCCATGCTTGGGCCAACTAAAAAAGTACTCCAAATTCAGTGAGTTTTCGCGCTCAAAAGAATGCGTGAAAAAACCTGAAAATTGGAGTACTCGTAGATTTTGTTGTGATCTTTCCAGGAAAAAGGCTACGTAAATTTAAAAAAATCATTCCAACTGCGAAATAGATTGCGGCCGCAACCCATATTTCAATTTTGCCATTCAGTCTGTCTGTCTCTCTCTCTCTCTCTCATCAACAAATGGAACAAAACTCTCTCTCTCTCTCTCACTCTCTCTCTCTCTCTCTCTCTCCCTCTCTCTTTTGTGTTAGCTCTTAGTCTCATTGATTAGGCTACCTTAGGGCTGCGTTCCCGGCCTCCACGCGGTAGACAATAGGGTGTGGTGGGACCAGAACGAAGTCTAGGATTTTTGACGAGGGCGGCTGTAGGGGCCCTTGAGATTTTTTCTCAAGTCAACGGTAGTGGAATGAGCCCCCCCAAAAAAAAAGAAAAAAAAAGAATGAGCCCCAAAGTCTGGAGACGATCTGGCTCAAGGGCGGGTGTGGGGCCGCCCTTGAGATTTTTCTCAAGTCAAGGGTAGTGGAACGAGCCCCTGAGTCACACCGCAGCCCTATCTACGCAAAGGGGGTCTTTCCTCGACCGAATTTGCCCGCATTTGCAGTTAGATGTGTCCACTCACGCCTTGGTTGCAATCACTAGTTCGCTGCGCTTGAGGATGTCGCTATCGGCTGTGGTCGGGAATTGACATGGTGGACAGGCCGTGTAGCTGAATGGTATGGTATGAGCAGGAGATCATGGGCTCGAATCAGGCCGTACCGAACAGATACGCTAATGTTAGGGACTACCTCTCTTCCAAGACAAAACAAGATCGTTTTCGCGCGGTCACAAGACAACAGGAACTGCGGCCCCAAATGGCTCTACCGCTATTCTCTCGCGCGGGCGGGCTATCTCATTTGCAGAGCTGTCACTCCATATGAAAACATCGGCTGGTTCGTATCTCGTGCAGATTACGACCTCAAGAATCCTGGCCATGGCCTGATTTTGCAGTGGTTTTCGGGTTTTCGCGGAATGAGGGACTTCAGTCTGCAGTGATCCCTTGGCCTTAGGCTGCCGCGCGATCTTGTGACACGTGGCATATAGGGTGTCAATTGCTTGTGCCCCGTTCAGAATCGTGTGATGCAATTTCAAATGAGCTCGTAAACTGCTGGTGGATCTCTGTGGGTTTTTGATGAAAAGGTGTGTGATGGTAGTCCTCTAGGGGTCATCCCTACGTTAGGGCCTCTTTGACTGATTATGGACGTAACTGCGGTGAGATACAATTCAAATAAATATCCGAGTGTAAGTGTGCAAGAAACCTCCAGGGGAGGGGTGGCTTATCTAAGAGTGAGGTAATTCGATGATAGGCTGAGGTGCAAAAAAACCAGAAATGATAGGCGGAGGAAACCAGAACATGCGTCTCCACCTCCAAACAGTGAACTTCCTGGCAGGAAGATTTGGGTCCACGCGAATCCTCTCTCTCTCTCTCTCTCTCTCTCCCTCGTGTGTGTGTGTGAACAGTGAACTTCCTGGCAGGAAGATTTGGGTCCACGCGAATCCCCTCTCTCTCTCTCTCTCTCTCTCTCTCTCGTGTGTGTGTGTGTGTGTGTGTGTGTGTGTGTGTGTGTGTGTGAAA